CATCATTGGCCAGAGTCCAGCCGGCGCGCTCGGAAACGCCCCTCCCCCGGGCGCTTCCCGGGATACGCCGAGCGCACCCTCGGTGAAGGGCTTTCTGGGTAGTGTAGTTTGCGACGCGGCGGGCGCGAGTCCTGAGCACCTAGGCGACGACCCAGTGGCACCGCGACTGGCTCAGGGGCCTAGTGTCGTGTGCGCTGCGGGCCTCGAGCCGCCGCTTGCTCAGAGTCTGGGCGTTTCTGCGTGAGCGGCAGAGGATGGGGCGGGACTTCCGCGTCGCCATTGCCCTCTTCACTTCGCGGTGGGTGGGTTGCTTGGCAGGTGGCCGCTGGGACCCGGAGATGCGGGCGGGGAAGTGCCGGGACCGTCACCGCATCGCCGCACGCACTTGCCCCCCTCCGCTAATGGCTCCTTCTTCCTGAGCCTCGGTTTCCCCAGATGTAGAACGGAAGCAGCGAGCCACCACACACCGCCTTCGTCCCGCGGCCCCGGGATGCAGCTCCCAGTCCTTCGGTGCATTCCATACTGGGGAAGACTGAGGCCCTTAGTGTGGCCGTCAGCCCGCGGCCACCCCGGGCAGTGCGGGTCTGGGGGTTTGGTTGAGCCCTCGCTGTTTGTCGCTGTCGCCGCCTCGCACGGTCCCGCCCAACCCGCAGACTGAGCAGGCCAGCAGCGTCGCTGATGGACCCGGGGCAGGTGAGTGGAGGGTGCCGCAGCCCCTGGCCCGCTGGGATCCCTGTCCTGACTCTGGAGCCCCTGTGCGGGACTCGTCACCTACACTCGGGTCTGGAGCCCAGAGAGTCACTTCTCCTAGCGTCCGGAACCCAGGCCGGAGGTTATATGGAGGGGTTCGCCGTCAGTTGGCAACCTCCTCGGGAGCTCCCCTGGTGTAACCTGACAGCGACCCCGTAGGTGGAGGGCAGGGAGAAAGCGAAGAGGCAGGTCTCTCCAGATTAGTAGGTGGCAGGTTTAATAAGCAAGGGCAGGTGCACAGCAAGCTTGCCTCGGACAGCCGCAGAAGAGTAGACCCCACATCAGCCCACCGAATCCGAAGTTTATACAGAGACCTTAACTTGGTTCAGTCACCTTCATCATCCGGATGGTTTCAGCACCGCATCACAATCTCAAGGCTATGTCCCTGGGGGGAGTTTCTGGGAGTGGGGAAGAATACGCATTCCGAGGACTGGAGGTGATGACAAGCCTCCCATTGCCCAGGTCCAGCTCAGACATGGGTCAGCTGACAGTCACATCCTCTTGATGACCTCCCCCTAACATTCACATTTCCGGAATCCTAGGGGATAAGGTCTGGAAGGGTGTCCCAAGCACAGGGACCAGCATGTGCAAGTTTCTTGGAGGTGAGTGTAAGACGAAAGAGTTCAGGGAACTGCAGGTCTGTATTTTGTCTGGTGGACATAGACAGCAGGGGACAGATACTGGTCTGGAATGGCAAGCTGAGGAGCTGGGTCTCTATTCTGAGTGTGGTGGGAGTGTGGAAAGCTTAGAGCAGAGAAGGAAGGTGATCTGACTCATGTCTTTTTTTTTTTAATTAATTAATTAATTTATTTTTTAAAAGATTTTATTTGTTTATTTGACAGAGAGAGACACAGCGAGACAGTGACTCAGGTCTTAATAAACTCCCTCTGGATGCCGAGTGGAGAACAGATTTGGTCAGGGGGCGGTAGAGGTGAGGTTGGAGGCGGGAAGACCCCTCAGTGGAGTGACTGGAATAGTTCAGGTGTATGTGCTTTTGGACCAAAGGTGGAAGTAGGAGAAATTGTTGGCTCTTGAACTTTTTAACTAGGGTGGACTAGATTTCCTGATACGAAGCAGTGAGATATGAGGGTTGGACTCAGGTTTTTCAGATGTGGAAGTTAGAGTGAGTAGATATCAGGGGGAAGGTAAAGATTTGGGTTTTGGCCATATTTTATTTGGTGTATCCTACAGACGGCCAAATTGAGGTACCAAGTATGCTTTATATCAAGTCCAGGCTGGAGACATCCAAGGGATGAAGACTTGTGTGTGGACATTATGTGTGGCTGTGGGTTGACCAGAATGGTGATCAAGCCTCTGACCAGAGATTAGACCTGGGATGACAAAATGAAGCATGAAAGTAACAGAAATAGGATGACAGTGGGGCCTGAGGTGAGACCGGTTTACCTCTCTGTAGCTCACCAGGTTTTTGTGGCCATCCTCCTTGGGGACTGGGGTGGGGGAGGGAGTGGGTGTCAGGCTGGAGAATAATCAGGGGTAGAAAGGGTCAGTCTAAGCTAAGAGCCCCCAAGCCAACGGTGGGGGGCAGTAGATCTGGCATTTGTCTAGTAGGAGGAGTGAGAACAGCTATGACTGGTGAGGGGATGGCATGTATAAGGGTGGGGGTGGAAGAGGGCAGTGGTGTTGAAGATCTACTCATGGTTCTGGAGAACTGAAGGCTGAAGCAGCAAGGCTAGGAGGGGAGGCATTAACTAGAAGTGAAGGTTGTTTCTGGCAGTTGTGGTTTTGGAGATGTGGGGCAAGCCAGGCTCAGTGTTGGATCCTGGTTGCCTTTGTGGGATAGGCCATGTGCATAGTGGGTCATAGAGACTAGGGAGATGCCTGTGGTGTGGACAGGGAGAGGGGTGGGGACTGGGGGGTAGATATGATGATGGTATAGTCGGAAGAGTGACATGTACAAGGTAAGGGAATGTGAACCAGTGTGCTCAGGGCCCTGGTACTAGAGGCTTAAGGGAGAAAAGAGAGTCTGAATTTTTTTATACTTGGGAGGTGTGATCTGGAGAGGCAAGAAACACGACATAAGAGAGCTTGTTTAGTGTGGGGAGTGGTTCCTGGCCAGCCCAGAGCTCAGACAGCATCTGTCTGCCCACCTGCTTTTTGTTCCTCTGGATTGTGTTGGCTTGGATACAGTGACCAGGAGTGGGGCTACAAGGAGAGAGGGACCCCAGTGGTGCCAGGGCCTCTTATCTCCTCTGAGATGGGGGCCTGAGGAGGAGGAGGAGCTGCAGGTGAGTGAGGGAAGGATGGACTGAGGTGGTCACAAGAAGAGGGTGCCAGTGGTAGGTGTAGCAGAACTCTGAGCCATACATCAAGGGCCTGGATGACTCCATTTAACTATTTTGTTTGTTTTTCAGCCCATCTGTTGGCCCCCTGGCTTAGCTGTCTCGTCATCACAGAGCCCAGTGACCTTTGAAGATGTGGCTGTGTATTTTTCCAAGGAGGAGTGGGGGCTTCTTGATGCAAGCCAGAGGCACCTGTACCACAATGTGATGCTGGAGAACTTTGAGCTCATGACCTCACTTGGTAAGGCCTTTCTGCCCCACCCCAGCATGGTGACCAGCTTCTGCCCTTTTGCCTTCTTCCCATAGAAAGTTTTCTGTTCATCCCAAAGCTGAACCCCAGGCACTGGTTCTTACCAGGTTTCCTGTTATAGGTGTTGTGGGTGCTGGGACTGGGCTGTGTGCATTCTCCATGTCTCTCAACAGCCTCATGAATAGTCCCAATAGCTGTTGCCCAGGGGCCTTGGGGAGCAGAGGTTGGGGATCAGGCACCTATCATCTGCCTGACGGATCCCACTAAGCTTGACCAGTTCATGGCTGGGTGACCCATTATGGGGCCATGCCTAGATTCTGTCCCTTCTCCCATGAGACTTTTTTTAAAAAAATAATTTTATTGAGTATACCACAAAGTTCATACTTTAAAGTGTATAATTCAGTGATTTTTAGTGTATTTGCACAGTTGTATAAATATTACCATAATCTAGTTTTATTATTACTTTTTAAAGATTTTATTTATTTATTTGACAGAGAGAGACGTAGCGAGAAAGAGGGAACACAAGTAGGGGGAGTGGGAGAGGGAGAAGCAGGCTTCCCGCAGAGCAGGGAGTCTGATGCAGGGTTCGATCCCAGGACCCTGGGATCATGACCTGAGCCGAAGGCAGATGCTTAATGACTGAGCCACCCAGGCGCCCCAGCATAATCTAATTTTAGAACATTTTTATCACCTAAAGAGAAACTGTGCCCATTAACAGTCACTCCCCATCCTCCCTCATCCCTTCTCCCTTAGCCTTAGGCAATTGCTAATATACTTTATGACTATGTATATTTGCTTATTTAGACCTTTCATATAAATGGAATCACACAGTATATGTTTTTCTGTGAATCGCTTTCATTTAGCATCATATATTTGAGGTTTATCCATGTTGTAGCTCATATCAGGACTTCATTCCTTTTTACGGCCACATAATATTCTATTGTGTAGATATACCACAGTTTGTTTATTCATTCATGGGTTGATTGGGCATTTGTCTTGTTTCCATTTTTGGGTGTTATGAAAAATGTTGTTATGAATATACAAGTACAGGTTTTTGCATAAGTATGTTTTCATTTCTTTTGGGTAAATAAATAGAAATGGAATTGCCAAACTGTTTTCCAGATTGGCAGCACCATTCTGTATTTCCACAGCAGTGTATGAGTATTCCAATTTTTCTACTTCCTTATCAACACTTACTATTGTCTGTTTTCCCATAGATACCCTAGTGGGTGTAAAGTGGTATCTCATTGTAGTTTTGATTTGCATTTCTTTAATGACTGATGATGTTGAGCAACTTTTCATGTGCGTATTGGTGTGCGTGCACACACACGCACACACATACACACACCTCCTTGTCCTTCTCTTTGTCCTTGCCTTTAGTAAGGCCTCCTTTATTCTGTAGCTTGGCTAGGCCCTGTCCTGCACAGTAGGCTCTTCACTCTTATTCTGGGCCCTTGGCCTGTCACCATCCCTTGGACCCATTCCTGTATATGTCAGCCACACATTTCTAATGAAGTCACCCTTTCCACCAAGTAGAACACTCAGTTTGCCAGAAACTTCTCTGCTTTCAGGTTGTTGGCATGGAGTGGAAGATGAGGGGGCCCATTCCAAGCAGAATACTTCTGTAGAAGGGATGTCACAGGTCAGGATCCCCAGTGCAAACCCTTCCACCCAGAAGGCTGACACCTGTGCTATGTGTGGCCCATTCTTGAAAGACATTTTGCACCTGAATGAACATCAGAGAATATATCCTGAGGAGACCCTCTACACATGTGGAACATGTGGAAGAGAATTTTGGTTCAGTGCAAACCTTCGCCAGCACCAGAAGGAGCTCAGTGGAGAAAAGCCCTTCAGATGGGACAAGGACGAGGATTCATTTGTGGAAAATCTTACAGTCCGCCTATCAGAGAAGCTCTTCACTTGTGGGGAAGGTGGTAAGGATGCCTTGGACAGCCATGACCTCTTCCAGCACCCAGCCATTGACAGCAGCAGGAAGCCACAAAGGAGCACAGAGTGCAGGGAGACCTTTTCACACAGCTCTAATCTTGAGCAGCTCACAAAAGTCCATACCACACAGAAGCTATTTAAGTGCAGCAACTGTGGAAAAGCCTTTCAGAAGACCTCCAGCCTCCTCAACCACCTGAGAACTCACTCTAAAGAGACACCCTTTAGATGCCCAACAGTTGGAAATTCCTTAGAGGAGAAATCAACCCTTGTTAATCTCCAAAGATGTCATGATCGAGAAACATGCCATGTGTGTAAAGCATGTGGGAAGACCTTCACTCACCCTTCTAAACTGAGGAAGCACCAGAAATTTCACACTGGAGTAAAACATTATGAGTGCAGTGATTGTCGGAAAACCTTCAACCACAAACTCACGCTTGTTCATCACCAGAGAATTCACACAGGAGAAAGGCCTTATGAGTGCAGTGAATGCGGGAAAGCTTTTAATAACAGGTCACACCTCACTCGGCATGAGAAAGTTCACACTGGAGAAAGACCTTTTGAGTGCAGCAAATGTGGAAGAGCCTTCAGCCAAAGCTCCAATTTCCTTCGGCACCAGAAAGTTCACACTCAAGTGAGACCTTATGAGTGCAATCAATGTGGTAAAGCCTTCAGCCGCAGCTCTGCCCTCATTCAGCACTGGAGAGTTCACACTGGAGAAAGGCCTTATGAGTGCAGTAAGTGTGGAAGAGCTTTTAACAATAACTCCAACCTTGCTCAGCACCAGAAAGTTCACACTGGAGAACGGCCTTTTGAGTGCAGTGAATGTGGAAGAGACTTCAGCCAAAGCTCCCACCTCCTTCGACATCAGAAAGTTCACACTGGAGAACGGCCTTTTGAGTGCACCGAATGTGGGAAAGCCTTCGGCAATAGCTCCACCCTCATTCAGCACCAGAAAGTACATACTGGGCAAAGGCCTTATGAATGCAGTGAATGTAGAAAGGCCTTCAGCCGCAGCTCCAGCCTGATTCAGCACTGGAGAATTCATACCGGGGAAAGGCCTTATGAGTGCAGTGAATGTGGGAAAGCCTTTGCACACAGTTCCAGTCTCATTGAGCACTGGAGAGTTCACACAAGAGAAAGGCCTTATGAGTGCAGTGAATGCGGGAAATTCTTTAGCCAGAACTCCATTCTCATTAAACATCAGAAGGTTCACACTGGAGAAAGACCTTATGAGTGCAGCGAATGTGGGAAATTCTTTAGCCGGAAGTCCAGCCTTGTTTATCACTGGAGAGTTCACACTGGAGAAAGGCCTTATGAATGCAGTGAATGTGGGAGAGCCTTTAGCAATAACTCTCACCTGGTTCGTCACCAGAGAGTTCACACACAAGAAAGGCCCTATGAGTGCAGCCAATGTGGGAAAGCCTTTAGTGAAAGATCTACACTTGTTCGACACCAGATAGTTCACACCAGAGAAAGGACTTACGAGTGTGACCACTGTGGGAAAATCTTCAGCCGCCTCTGCAATCTTGCTCAGCATAAAAGGATTCATACCTGAATGTAGCCTTATAGAGATGGTCCTTCTGAGAAGATCTTCAGCCAAGTCAAACTTCATGCAGAATACCCACAGAGAAGTTACCTGAATGTACCACTAGTGTGGAGAAGGCTTCAGAAGGTGGTCTGCCCTTTCTGAGCAGCCCAGGGCTGAGCTCTCTCCCCTCTGGAGCATAAAGCCCTTTCCAGCCTGCCTGGATCCAAATATTTTCAGCAGTCATCTACATATGTAGGGAGAAAACAGCTCCTTGTGCCTCCCTTCCCCTTTCCTGGAGGGAAACAGGATTGTCCTGGGCCCACTAGAATGGCTTAATTCCCATTGCCTCTTAAATGGTTAGGAAGTGAACTAACCCCATGCTGGTCAAGGGGCCTTGCGGGATGTCCAGTTTGGGCTTCTCAGATACACGTTCCTCATGGATGTTGTCTTGTCTGCATGTAACCCCAATTATGTATCCAATGAGCTCACACATCACCCTCCCCTGGAACCACTTATCTTGGTGTTCTCTATTCTGCATGATAATAAAGACCTTAGTAATCAAGTCTTTTTTTTTTTTTTTTTTTTTTTTTTTAGAGAGGGATGGAAGGGGCAGAAGGAGAGAGAGAATACTAAGCAGTCTCCATGCCCAGCGTGGAGCCTGACCCAGGGCTCAGGATCACAACCCTGAGATCATGACCTGAGCTGACATCAAGAGTCAGATGCTTAACTAAGTGAGCTACCCAGGTGCCCTGATCAAGACACCTTTATTTATTTATTTTAGATTTTATTTATCTGACACAGAGAGAGAGCACAAGCAGGGGGCGCAGCAGGCAGAGGGAGAGGGAGAAGCAGGCTCCTTGCTGAACAGAGAGCCTAACGTGGGGCTGGATCACAGGACCCTGCGATCATGACCTGAGCTGAAGGCAGATGCTTAACCAACTGAGCCACCCAGGCATCCCTCAGGTCACCTTTAATCTTGGGGGTTTTGGTGGGGTAGGTTGAAAAAAGAAGTGGGTACGGTGAGGGATGGCTGAGACAGGGCACCTAACAACATCTACCTCGGGGTATAGAAAGAACATAGGGTTAGGGTTTGCAGTGCACCTGAAGGGCTCATAAAGTGAACATAGTGGCCTGTGTTTCAGAGTCATCTGAAGGCCCAGAGCTCACCCTGAAGAAGGAGGATGCTAGTCTGCAACATGAATGGTCTGTTGAATTAGGAGGCAGGTCCCTAGTTCCCAGAGAGATGTCTGGGTTTCCCCATCTGAGGAGCTGTCTTCTGGTTCCTAATAAGGAGATAAGACCCTAGGAGGCGGGTAGAGGCCCAGTGGATAGAGAAACAATGGGTGTGAGGTAAGAGGGAGTTGGGAGGAAATTACAGCACTGCCATTAGGGACAGACAAAGGAGCACCACAGTTCTCCATTAGCTGAGGCTCTGCAGGGTAAGGCAAGTAAACTTAATCTGAGATGTACAGGGGCCATCTGGGAGCCAGAAACATTGGGTTTGGAGCAGACTGGTAAACTAAAGGGAACTTGGCTATTCTAAAGGTACATCAAAAACTTTCAGATTGGGGTGCCTGGCTGGCTCAGTTGGTAGAGCATGCAACTCTTGATCTTGAGGTTGTGAGATTGAGCCCCAAGTTGGATACAGAGATTACTTAAAAATAAAATCTTTATAAAGAAAAAAACCTTCCAGGTGACTCTGGCCAAGTGAGATAAGAGTGAAGAACTCAAGACGTGCAGACCTGAATATCACTCATAATGGAAATCCAAAAAAATGTTTTATGAATTCCTGTATTCTCCCTGACCTATTCACCTCATGTCTGTCACCACACAGGAACCTCATCATCAAGAGGATGGAGCTCATGGTCAGGAGAATGGTTTATGTGAGTACCAGAGTTTGAGAGAATTGCATAGCCATGGCATTCATTACTCCACTTCTGGTAGCCACCAAGGAAGTCTGTCCTTTTTAAAGGGTGGGGAGACAACATGGTGGAGTTAATATGGGTTTCCCGGATTTCTTGGCTGTCTGGGAAGAGCCAGATATTCAGATTTTTATGTGGCTTTTGATTTTATGTTAGAAGCCGTTTCAAAAAATATTTTGTACAGTACAAAAGCAGTTTACCAAAACCTGTGGGTGGGCCATATATGTTCCCCTGGGCCCTTCCATGAGACCTGTGGGAAGAAAGACCAAGAATTTTCTGACATGAGAGGCTTCGGTGTGCAGTGTCCATCCATACTGCATGGTGGGTGGGAAGGCAGTGCTACTGCCACCTCTTCTCAGGATGACTTTTCCCAAAAGCCCAGCAGAGACAAGGAATGATAGCCACATTAGAGGTGGAACCCAAGATGGGCTTGCAGTAATCAAAGATTACAGCAGGGCTGCTCAAGTACTCCCTAGCACAATGAGATGTTTGGGGGAATCCCCCACCCTGCTCAGGCCTCCCTTCCTGGATGTAATGTCTTTTACCAACATGGAGGACTCATGTGGGATCAGAGTTAAAGGCCACCTGAGCCACGTGAGGATCAAGCCTTCTAAGCAAATGGGGTAGGATAGACACTGGTCATCACAGCTCAATTCTTTGTACAGTATGGATGGCTGGTTAGATCTCATTAAATGGCCCCCAGCTCATGGCTGAAGAATCTTCTGTGCTTTCCTTGAATAGGCATGGTCTTCCACTGGGGCTCAGTACACAGCAACAAGTCTGTTGGGGAAGGAAGATGTTTAGCAGCGATGCCAGAACACTCCAGGCAAAGGTCTCAGGACTCTGACCTTTGAGCTGTTCTGAATACCAGCCTTTGTGGGGCTCAGTAGTTCCAACACTTTCAGCTCAATCAGTGCAGCAGGCCAGTGCCTACAGGTTTTTGATGCAGTTTTTATACTGACACTGACCATTCTGCCCTCACTAATGATAGCTCTCTGAGTTGCATCCAACAGTAGTTCCCTGCACTTGGACCTTGGCCTGTGACCTCCCCCATGAGGGACACTCTCCACTGTCTTCTCAACCTTTCCCCACTTTGCCACTCCTCCAATTCTGCTGCATTTTTCTCTCCAAGTTGGTGTCAGTTTCTCTCTTCTCTTTGATGCCTGAACCTTTGGCCTGAGGCCAGGCCTCTGCTACACACACACACACAGCCAATAAGCACATGAAAAGTTGCTCAACATCATCGGTTGTTAAAGAAATGCAAATCAAAACTGCAGTGAGATACCACTTCACACCCACTAGAGTATCTATGGGAAAACAGAAATAGTAAGTGTTGATAAGGAAGTAGAAAAATTGGAATACTCATACACTGCTGTGGAAGTATAAAATGGTGCTGCCAATCTGGAAAACAGTTTGGCAATTCCATTTCTATTTATCTACCCAAAAGAAATGAAGACATACTTACACAAAAACCTGTACTTGAATATTCATAGCAACATTTTTCATGAGACCCAAAAAGTGGAAACAAGACAAATGCCCAGGGGCGCCTGGGTGACTCAGCCATTAAGTGTCTGCCTTCGGCTCAGGTCATGGTCCCAGGGTCCTGGGATCGAGCCCTGCATCAGGCTCTCTGCTCCGCGGAAGCCTGCTTCTTCCTCTCACCCACTCCCCCTGCTTGTGTTTCCTTTCTCGCTGTGTCTCTCTCTGTCAAATAAATAAATAAAATCTTAAAAAAAAAAAAAGACAAATGCCCAATCAACTGATGAATGAATAAACAAACTGTGGTATATCTACACAATAGAATATTATTTGGCCATAAAAAGGAATGAAGTCCTGATATGTGCTACAACAAAGATGAACCTCAAAAAATATATTATGCTAAGTGAAAGCCATTCACAGAAAAACACATACTGTGTGATTCCATTTATATGAAATGTCTAAATAAGCAAATATACATAGTCAGACACTTAACTGACTGAGCCACCAAGGCACACAAGTTCCCTGACTTTTTAAGCCTGCCCGGGGTTTCTACCCTGTGTGGTCGTCACCTCTCCCACCATTGTGGGGGGGAGGGTGGGGGATCAGGGAGAAGAACCAGTTACAGAAGGCAGCAGTGGTTTCCAACCCCAACACATGATACTGGCTGAGCACTGTGGTTCAAAACCCCTCAAGTCTAGGGTCACAGTTCTCTCTCTAAACATGCCTCCAAGTTCTCTTCTTGACAGGAAACATAATTTTTGGACCAGGGACACATCTACAAACAACACACAAGTTTTGCTGAACTGGTATCTTATTGAACTTTTGGGAAATTAGTTTCCAAAATTTTTAAAATCAAAAGACCCCAAAAAACAAAGGATATGAATACATATGTTCATTCAACCACTTCTCTCCCTTGGCAGCAAAAACAATGGAGGCCATGGTGTGCACAGATGCCAGGGGCCCTGGCCACATCCCAGGACTGCAGGGTCTTCATTTTGGGACCAGGGTAATGGCCATGAGATGAACATCCTGCTATCCCCAGTAAGGCAACAAAAGTCAGGGACCCCTCCCCACAGAAGCCAGTCCCTCTCTTCAGGAGCCCAGTTTTGTTCTCAATCCCTCCACACACAGTGATCAGAATGCCCAATATTAAAAGTGGCTTAAACAATAAAGCTTTTATTACCATACATTCCAGGGACGTGTGAGACAGTCAGTTCCAGGGGTGGGTAAATCCATAACAGGTACCATGTGTAGTGTCAACCGTGTCCATGGAAATGATTAACTTTCTCTAGAAGCCCCCGGTAGACACAGCTCAGCTACTCTTGACCAGAGCCTGGTCACAGACATACCTAAACCAGTTGGAGGGGGGGAATGAGGCCCATTCTGGGTTTACCACTCATAATTCTTTCCTGTACAGAGTGGGGACTAAGGAGGTCTGCTGTTCCAGAGCACGTTGAGATGAATGATGCACATCTTGAGCACCTGCCAGGTGGAGGAAGTAGGATGGCTTCTATCACAGAAACCAGCAGTGACTTAACACTGCCAACAACCTCGGCAGGTTGGAGTGCAACCTAGCTCCTGAAAGCTTCCTACACGCCTGCCGCCCCAGGGCACATATTGGGGTATGCTAGGTTTAGCTCTCAAATGGCTACGCTCCTCAATCTCCTTTCTGGAGTGAGGGCTTTCATGTTGAACAAGGTGCCCAGCCCTGGCTACAGGCTTTCCAACATCCCGTCTTCTTATGGCCTTTCTCCAGTGTGGACTTTCTTGTGCTGAAGGAGGGTAGAACTGTGTTTGAAGGCTTTCCCACATTCTGTACATTCATAGGATCTCTCTTCAGTGTGGAACTGCTGGTGCCGATTGCGGTAGGACCTGGTGGTAAAGGTCTTCCCACACAGGCTGCACTCATAGGGCCGTTCTCCAGTGTGAACTTTCCAGTGCTGATACAGGCCAGAGCGGGTCACATAAGTTTTCCCACATTGCTTGCACTCATAAGGCCTTTCTCCAGTGTGAACTCTCTGGTGAAGAATGAAGCTATGGTTGTATTTAAAGAACTTCCCACATTCCCTGCACTCATAGGGCCTTTCTCCAATGTGAACTTTCCGGTGCCGAATGAGAGTAGACAGAACACTGAAGGCTTTCCCACATTCACTGCACTCATAAGGCCTTTCTCCAGTGTGAATTCTCTGGTGCAGAACAAGTGCATCTTTACGGTTGAAGGTTTTGCCACACTCATCACACTTGAAAGGTTTTATGCCTGTGTGAACCTTCTGGTGCTTCCTCAGTTTAGATGGATAACTGAAGACCTTTCCACACTCATTACACACATGGGATGTTTCTCCAGTGTGAATTTTTTGGTAATTAACATGGGTGGATTTGTCCTTGGGGGCATTTCCACCTTTCAGGCATCTAAAGGGTCTCTCTTTGGGGTGAGTTATCAGATGGTCGAGGAGTGCAAAAGCCTTCAGGAAGGCTTTCCCACAGTCACTGCACTTGAAGGCCTTCTGTGTGGTGTGGAGGCCCTGCTGCTGCTGGCAATTGGAGCTGGGTTGGAAGGCCTCCCCAGGCTTGGTGCTCTTGTGTAGCTTCTCCTTGCTGTGGGTGGCCTGGTGCTGGAGGAGGCCTAAGGTGGTAGGGACGTCCTTTCCAGACTCCCCACACAGAAGGGGCTTCTCTGATAGGTAGACTTTGTAGCTCTTGATCTGCTCTGGAGAGGCTTCCTCATCCTCCAGTCTACATGGACAACCTGAAACAGAGAAAAGCCAGTTACTGAGAGCTGGATTAGAGGGAGGAGGCACCTTCATCACAAACACATGTCAGACATACCAAAAAGGAGTCCACAGAATTGCCAGGAGGCTCCTAGGAAAAGTCTGGGTGAGAAAGGGCTGGCCCAGCAGAACAGGGCTCTGCCAGATCACAGAATAGCAAAGACCTCAGCGGGAGTGAGGACACAAGATGGGAGCAATGCAGGGAGAAGAGGTGGGATCTCCAAGTCACTCCTTGCAATGGTTTCAAGCAGGGCCTCAGCCACTGGTGACAGGAAGCACTGTGAAGAGGATGTGTTTGCTCCAATGAAAAGGCAACTGTAACAGAGTAGCTGGTGTTCAGGTATTATTTAAGGGCATGTACACATCTCAAGTCACCAGTGGACAGCTCTACACTGGCAGAGGCCAGGGACACATAGGTCCTGAGAGTCATGGTAGGGATGGGAAGATCACACAGTGTGTTCAGAAGGGAGAGGAAATGTGGGAATAGTGTGTGGTCACTGGCCTCAGCACCAAAATGCCAGTGCACACAGACACCCAGCATGCTGTGAGCTCATCAGTGAAACCAAGTCATCGCCTAGCCCTACTCACCAGGACCAGGACCCCTCCTGGCCTCTGCTCTGCTGCCCAGTGTCAAGTCCACCATGTTGGGCATCCAGAGGTCTTCTTCACTCTCCAGCTGGGCAACCACATGGGACCTTGAAGGTGCAAATCCTAGGAGAGAGAAAGGTAATAAGAGGCCAGCCCAAGCCAAGGCTTGCCCACCTCCTCCCCACCAGGAAGCTCATGTCATCATGCCAACCATGAAGGAAACGGAGTATTAGAAAACAAACCTCCTCTGCACATTTAAAAATTTGTTAAGCAGGTAGACCCCATGTTGTGTTTCACTACAATTTATTTTGAAAGAAACTTACATGAAGGTAAACTGACATAAATGAAGTAAAAAGATAGACAAACAATAATAGTTGGAGATTTCAACTTCTAACTTTCAAGAATGGACAGAACCACTAGGCAGAGAACAAACAAGCACACAGCACTTGACTAACACTAGAAACCAACTAGACTTAACAGACATCTATATAGCCTGCCACATAACAACAGCAGAATATGTATTCTCACGCTCTCACGTGCACATGGAACATTCCCCAGAACAGACCATTTGCTAGGACATAAAAGAGGTCTCAATATATTTCAGAGGACTGAAATAACACAAAGTATATTCTCTGACCACAAAGGAATTAAAACAGAAATCAACAACAGAAAGAAATTTGGGAAACTCACAAATTTACGGAATTTAAGTAAAACACATCTAAATAACCACAAAGAAAACTACAAAGAACTTTGAGATGAATGAAAATGAAAACACAACATACCACAAGTAATGGGACATAGCAGTTCTTGGAGGGAAAATCAGAGCTAAAATTCCATGCTGTTTTACTCATAACACTTCTTCTTTTTTTTTTTTTTAAGATTTTGTTTATTTATTTGAGAGAGAGAACAAAAGCAGGGGGAAAGGGAGAGGGAGAAGCAGACTCCATGCTGAGCAGGGAGTCTGACGTGGAGCTCAATCCCAGGACCCTGGGATCATGACCTCAACCAAAGGCAGACGCTTAACTGACTAGCCACCCAGGCGCCCCTACTCATAACACCAAATGTGGGTAAGGTGTAGGGTGGATGTTCCACACCACTTCAACTCTCAGACACCAACGTGGCATCCAAGGATTCAATTAAATTCTGATACTGACTACCTGGAATCAGCATCAGATCCCACAGGTTAAGGGCTCAGTCTCACAAGACTGCCCCTACTTCAGACAACAGTTGGATGTCCCAGACTCCCATTCTTCTGACCAACTAGCTATAAATCAGGGATTCCCACAATTATTGATCCCTTCTCAAGCTCAATAATTTCCTATAATGGCTCACAGAACTGAGGAAAAGAGTTTACTTAGTATTACCAGATTATTATAAAGTATACAACTCAGGAACAGCCCAATGGAAGAGATGCAAAGGGCAAAGTATACCAGGGGTGGAGATGGGAGTGGGGGATGAGGAAGCAGAGGGTAAGAGGGCACCCATGCCCTCCAGTGGCACTTTCCCAGCAACCTAGACGCTCTCTGAACCCTGTTATTTAGGAGTTTCTATGGAGATTTCATTATGATGTATAATTAGTTAAATCATTGGCCACTGGTGATTGCTTCAGTCTCCAGCCCCTCTACTCTCCCCAGAGGCTGGGGAGACTGGGGGACTGGAAGGATGGGGGTGGGGGTAGCTCAAAATCCAACCTTCCTATCATACCCTGGTGTTTCTGGTGGCCACTTCCTATCCTGAAGCTATCTAGGAGCTCCCACCCACCAGTCATTCCATTAGCACACAAAAGACACTCTTACCACTTCAGAGATTCCAAATGTTTTAGGACCTGTGCTAGGAATTGGGTATAAAGACAAAATATTTATTTCTTATTATGTCACAACACCCATATTTAAAATATCTCAAACCAATAGCCTAACTTTAGGCCTCAAGAAACAGGAAAAAGAAAAGCGACTGAACTCAAAGCTAGCAGAATGAAGGAAATGATAACGAGCAGAGATAAATGAAATAGAGATTAGAAAAAGAGAATCAATAAAACCAAAATTAGGATCTTTGAAAAGATCAACAAAATTGAAAAACTGCTACGTAGACTGACAAGAAAAAAATAGAAGAATCAATTTATTAAAAACAGGAATGAAAAAGGGGACATCACTAACTAAGAGAAAGGATTGTAAGGAAATACTATGAACAACTGTACATATGCCCACAAATTAGGTAACTTAGATAAAATGGACAAATTACAGGGAACTTTCCAGAACGCTCGGTGAGATGCAGAGGAGCGGTGGCTGCCCGAGCTATGCCCAGCAACGTGCTCCTTCCTGCTCCCCCACACCGGCCTTGGCCCTCTCACTGGCTGTAGAAAATGGTGAAAGAAACCACTTACTATGATGTTTTGGGGGTCAAACCCAATGCCACCCAAGAGGAATTGAAAAAGGCCTACAGGAAACTGGCCTTGAAGTACCACCCTGATAAGAATCCAAATGAAGGAGAAAAGTTTAAACAGATTTCTCAAGCTTACGAAGTACTCTCTGATGCAAAGAAAAGGGAATCATATGACAAAGGAGGAAAACAGGCAATTAAAGAAGGTGGAGCTGGTGGTGGCTTTGGCTCCCCCATGGGCATCTTTGATATGTTTTTTGGAGGAGGAGGAAGGATGCAGAGATAAAGGAGAGGTAAAAATGTTGTGCATCAGCTCTCAGTAACCTTAGAAGATGTATATAATGGTGCAACAAGAAAACTAGCTTTGCAAAAGAAAGTGATTTGCAATAAATGTGAAGGCCGAGGTGGTAAGAAAGGAGCAGTCGAATGTTGTCCCAATTGCTGAGGTACTGGAATGCAAATAAGAATTCATCAGATAGGACCTGGAATGGTTCAGCAAATTCAACCTGTGTGCATGGAGTGCCAGGGCCATGGGGAACGGATCAGTCCCAAATCAAGAGAAGAAGATTCTAGAAGTTCATATTGACAAAGGCATGAAGGATGGCCAGAAGATAACATTCCATGGAGAAGGAGACCAAGAACCAGGACTGGAACCAGGAGGTATCATTATTTTATATCAGAAGGACCACGCTGCTTTTACTCGGCAAGGAAAAGACCTTTTCATGTGTATGGACATACAGCTGGTTGAAGCAGTGTGTGACTTTCAAAAGCCAGTATCTACTCTTTTTTTTTTTTTAAGATTTTATTTATTTATTTATTTGACAGAGAGACACAGTGAGAGAGGGAACACAAGCAGGGGGAGCGGGAGAGGGAGAAGCAGGCTTCCCGCTGAGCAGGGAACCCGATGTGGGGCTCTATCCCAGGACTCTGGGATCAGGACCTGAGCCAAAGGCAGATGCTTAACAGACTGAGCCACCCAGGCGCCCCGCCAATATCTACTCTTGACAACCGAACCATCGTCATCACCTCTCTCCCAGGTCAAATTGTCAAGCATGAAGATATCAAGTGTGTGCTACATGAAGGCATGCCAATTTATAGTAGACCATATGAGAAGGGTAGCCTAATCACCGAATTTAAGGTGAACTTTCCTGAGAATGGCTTTCTCTCTCCTGATAAACTCTCTTTGCTGGAAAAACTCCTACCTGAGAGGAAGGAAGTAGAAGAGATTGATGAAACAGACCAGGTAGAACTGGTGGACTTTGATCCAAATCAGGAAAGATGGCGCCATTACAATGGGGAAGCCTATGAGGATGATGAACATCATCCCGGGGTGGTGTTCAGTGTCAGACCTCTTAATAAAGCCAGTGAATAACACTGCTGGCATTTTATATGCAGTAGTGAATGAGTGAAGGACTATAATCATATCTCACTACTTGCTATTGTTTTTGTTTTAATATTCAACTACAGTAGTGTTTTAAAAGTTAACAATAAACTCAAATATAAAAGCTCAAAAAAAAAGGACAAATTACTAAAAAAGACACAAACTATCAAAATTGACTCTCAAGAAGAAATAGAAAGTCTAATTATACTTAAAAACAAACAAAACAAAAAAACTTCCCACCACAGGAGTGAAAAAAACAAACAAACAAAAAGATTCTTCACTGATGAATATTAACACTGAAATAAGAATTAGCACATGGGGTGCCTGGGTGGCTCAGTTGTTAAGCGTCTGCCTTCGGCTCAGGTCGTGATCCCAGGCTCCTGGGATCAAGCCCTGCATCGGGCTCCCTGCTCGGCGGGAGGCCTGCTTCTCCCTCTCCCACTCCCCCTGCTTGTGTTCTCTCTCTCTCACTGTGTTTCTGTTAAATAAATAAATAAATAATCTTAAAAAAAAAAAAAAGAATTAGCACAAATACTTCACACGCTCTTCCAGAAAACAGAAGAAAAGGGAACCTTTCCCAACTCATCCATTGAGGCCAAAATTACCCTCATGCTCAACCCAAATATAGACATTATGAGAAAACTATACATTGATAACTCTTATGAATATAGATGCAAAACTCAACAAAATACTAGTAAACCAAATCCAGAAATACATAAAAGGTTTATAAACTATGACAGAGTGGAATTTGTCTTAGTAATGCAAGATTGAACATATGAAAACCAATTAAGGTAATATACCATGTTAACAGAATAGAGGATAAAAATCACATGACCATTTCAATAGATACGGGAAAGCACTAGACAAAATCTAATGATCTTTCATGATTAATGCACTCAACAAACTAAGAAAAGAAGGGAATTTCCTCACCTATAAAGGGCAACTGCAAAAATTCTACAGCTAACATCATACTTACTACTGAAAGACTAAATGCTTTTCTCGTAAGACTGGGAAGAAGACAAGGAAGTCTACTCTCACCAATTCTATTCAGTAAGTACTGAAGGTTCTAGCCAGGCCAGTTAAGCAAAGGAAGAGGTAAAAATATCTGTATTTGCAGATGACATGATGTCATGTATATGGAAAGTATCAAGGAGTCCACAAAAAAACAAAACAAAACTATTAGAACTATTCATCCCAAAGCTACAGAATACACATTCTTCTCTAGTGCACATGGAACATTCTCCAGAATAGATCACATCCTGGGTCACAAATCAAGTCTCAACCGGTAAAAAGATTGGGATCATTCCCTGTATATTTTCAGATCACAATGCTTTGAAACTCAAACTCAATCACAAGAGGAAAGTTGGAAAGAACTCAAATACATGGAGGATAAAGAGCATCCTACTAAAGAATGAATGGGTCAACCAGGAAATTAAAGAAGAATTTTAAAAATTCATGGAAACAAATGAAAATGAAAACACAACTGTTCAAAATCTTTGGGATGCAGCAAAGGTGGTCCTAAGAGGGAAGTATATAGCAAGCCTTTCTCAAGAAATAAAAAAGATCTCAAATACAAAACCTAACCCTACACCTAAAGGAGCTGGAGAAAGGAAAGCAAATAAAGCCTAAACCTAGCAGGAGAAGAGAAATAATAAAGATCAGAGCAGAAATCAATGAAACAGAAACCAAAAGAACAGAACAGATCAACAAAACTAGGAGCTGGTTCTTTGAAAGAATTAATAAGATTGATAAACTCCTGGCCAGGCTTATCAAAAATAAAAGAGAAAGGACCCAAATAAATAAAATCATGAATGAAAGAGGAGAGATCAAAACCAACACCAAAGAAATACAAACAATTATAAGAACATATTATGAGCAACTATATGCCAACAAATTAGACAATCTGGAAGAAATGGATGCATTCCTAGAGACATATAAGCTACCAAAACTGAACCAGGAAGAAATAGAAAACCTGAACAAACCCATAACTAGCAAGGAAATTGAAGCAGTAATCAAAAATCTCCCAAAAGGGGCGCCTGGGTGGCTCAGATGGTTAGGCGTCTGCCTTCAGCTCAGGTCCTGGGATCGAGCCCCACATCGGGCTCCTAACTCGGCGGGGAGCCTGCTTCTCCCTCTCCCTCTGCTTCTCCTCCTGCTCATGCTCTCTCTCTCTCTCTCTCTCTCTCTCTGTCTCACATGAATAAATAAAACCTTAAAAAAAAAAAATCTCCCAACAAACAAGAGCTCAGGGCCAGATGGCTTCCCAAGGGAATTCTACCAAACATTTAAAGAATTAATACCTATTCTTCTGAAATTGTTCCAAAAAATAGAAATGGAAGGAAATCTTCCAAACTCATTTTATGAGGCCAGCATTACCTTGATCCCAAAACCAGACAAAGACCCCACCAAAAGGAGAGTTACAGACCAATATCCCTGATGAAAATGGATGCAAAAATTCTCACCAAAATACTAGCCAATAGGATCCAACAGTACATTAAAAGGATTATTCACCACAAGCAAGTGGGATTTATTCCTGGGTGCAAGGCTGGTTCAACATTAGCAAATCAATCAATGATATACACTACATTAATAAAAGAAAGAACAAGAACCATATGACCCTCTCAATAGATGCAGTAAAAGCATTTGACAAAATACAGCATACTTTCTTGATTAAAACTCTTCACAGTGTAGCAATAAAGGGTACATACCTCAGTATCATAAAAGCCATCTATGAAAAATCCACAGCAAAGATCATTCTCAATGGGGAAAAACTGAGAGCTTTCCCCCTATGGTCAGGAACACGGCAGGGATGTCTACTATCACCACTGCTATTCAACATAGTATTAGAAGGCCTAGCCTCAGCAACTAGACAACAAAAAGAAATAAAAGGCATCTGAGTCAACAAAGAAGTCAGACTCTCAATCTTTGCAGATGATATGATACTTTATGTGGAAAACCCAAAAGACTCCACCCCCAAATTGCTAGAACTCATACAGGAATTCAATAAAGTGGCAGGATATAAAATCAGTGCACAGAAATCAGTTGCATTTCTATACACCACCACCAAGACAGAAGAAAGAGAAATTAAGGAGTCGATCCCATTTACAATTGCACCCAAAACCATAAGATACCTAGGAATAAGTCTAACCAAAGAGGCAAAGAATCTGTACTCAAAAAACTATAGAATACTCATGAAAGGAATTGAGGAAGACACAAAGAAATGGAAAAACATTCCATGCTCATGGATTTGAAGAACAAATATTGTGAAAATGAAAATGTCTATGCTACCTAGAGCAATCTACACATTCAATGCAATCCCTATCAAAATACCATCAACTTTTTTTCACAGAAATGAAACAAATAATCCTAAAATTTGTATGGAACCAGAAAAGACCCCAAATAGCCAGAGGAATACTGAAAAAGAAAACCAAAGCTGGTGGCATCACAATTCCGGATTTCCAGCTCTATTACAAAGCCGTAATCATCAAGACAGTATGGTACTGGCACAAAAACAGGCACATAGATCAATGGAACAGAATAGAGAGCCCAGAAATGGACCCTCAACTCTATGGTCAACTAATCTTCAACAAAGCTTAATATCCAATGGAAAAAAGAGTTTCTTCAACAAATGGTGTTGGGAAAATTGGACAGCCACATGCGGAAGAACGAAACTGGACCATTTCCTTACACCGCACACAAAAATAGACTCAAAATTGATGAAAGACCTAAATGTGAGACAGGAATCCATCAAAATCCTTGAGGAGAACACAGGCAGCAACCTCTTCGACCTCGGGTGCGTGACTTCTTCCTGGACACATCACCAAAGGCAAGGGAAGCAAGGGCAAAAACGAACTATTGGGACTTCATCAAGATAAAAAGCTTTTGCACAGCAAAGACAACAGTCAACAAAACCAAAAGACAGCTGGCAGAATGGGAGAAGATATTTGCAAATGACATATCAGAAAAAGGGCTAGTACACAAAATCTATAAATAACTTACCAAACTCAACACCCAAGGAAAAAATAATGCAAACAAGTAATGGGCAGAAGACATGAACAGACATTTCTCCAAAGAAGACATCAAAATGGACAACAGACATAGTGCTCAACATCACTCGGTATCAGGGAAATACAAATCAAAACCACAGTGAGATACCACCTCACACCAGTCAGCATGGCTAAAATTAACAAGTCAGGAAACGACAGATGTTGGCAAGGATTCAAAGAAAGGAGAACCCTCCTACGCTGTTGGTGGGAATGCAAGCTGGTGTAGCCACTCTGGAAAACAGTATCGAGGTTCCTCAAAAAGTTGAAAATAGAGCTACCCTATGACACACCAATTGCACTACTGGGTATTTACACCAGTAATACAAATGTAGGGATCTGAAGGGTCACCTGCACCCCAATGTTTATAACAGCAATGTCCACAATAGTCAAACTATGGAAAGAGTCCAGATGTCCATCGACAGATGAATGGATAAAGAAGATGTGGTCTATATATACAATGGAATATTATGCAGCCATCAAAAAATGAAATCTTACCATTTGCAACGATGTGGATGGAACTAGAGGGTATTATGCTAAGCAAAATAAGTTAATCAGAGAAAGACAATTATCATACAATCTCACGGATATGTGGAATTTGAGAAACAAGGCAGAGGATCATAGGGGAGAGAGGAAAAAATGAAATAAGAAGAAACCAGAGAGGGAAACAAACCATAAGAGACTCTTAATCTCAGCAAACAAACTGAGGGTTGCTGGAGTAGAGGGGGGTGGGAGGGATGGGGTGGCTGCATGATGGACATTGGGGAGGGTATGTGTTGTGGTGAGCGCTGTGTATTGTGTAAGACTGATGAATCACAGACCTGTACTCCTGAAACAAATAATACATTATATGTTAATAATTAAAAAATGAAATATGACTTTGAAAAAACTATTAGAACTAATAAATGAGTTTATCAAGGCTATAGGACACAAAAAAATCAGTATACAAAAATCTGTATTTTTATATACTAGCACTGAAAAATCTAAAATGAAATTAAGCCAACAATTCCACTTAAAATTGCATCAAAAGGAATAATATACCTAGGAATAAATTTAGGCTCGTAAGCTGAAAACTACAAAACACTCTTGAAAAAAGTTAAAGAAGACTGAATAAATGGAACGATATCTCATGTTCATGAATTGGAAGATATTAAGATAACAATACTCCCCAAATTGATCTACTAATTCGAATTCATGGCTCAAGTTTGGCCCAGGGAGAGGCCTATAAAAATCTCCTTTGAAGGAAGGCAACACCGAGTACAGAGGGGCCATGACTTCAGCAGAGTCACAGAGACAGGGAGGGTTGAGTGGAATTTGTTGGGCAGACTGTAAATACCTGCATCCCAAGCCCTACTCCAGGAGGCTATAGGGCAACAGCTGTTGAGGCTGCTAACAAGGCTGCTAAGAAGGAGGCAGAGGAAGAACACACAGCCCAGGGCCAGTAGCCATAGCACCAACCACAGGGAACTTGGGAAGGAAACAGCCTCTGTGGTGTGGCTTTAGGATGCACACACCCTCCTATGGGGAAAAGGCAGAGGTGGTCAGTCAGCCGGGGAAGAGTGTGAGAGACTTACCCAGCGAGCCAATAAGTGCAAAGTTCTCTAGCATCACATCACGGTACAGGCTCCTCTGGGTCAGATTAAGGAGCCCCCACTCCTCCCGGGAGAAATACACAGCCACATCCTCAAAGGTCACCAAGCCCTGTAATGATTGATTCAACTGAGCCGTAGGGGTCAATAGTGGGCGGAAGAGCCAACCAAAACATGGACAAAGGAACACATCCATGCCCTTGATCAGTGTCTCGGGGTCCTGCCACATGTCTCACTGGCATCCTCTTTCCCTCTGAACCCTAAAGCCCCATTCCCACCCGAGGCAAACCCTCTACCTCCCTCCTCTTAGGACCCTTATCTCGGAGGACTGCCAGGGCCCCAGTTCCACTGGTGCCTCTCCTCAGTTACTCCTGGACTCTGCATCCTGCCCACGGCAACAGCAGGCTGGTGACCAGACAGGTACCATCTGTGTCCCAGCCAGACGACAGGCCCCACCCTACCTCCTATCAGCCAATTCCCTCTACGTCTCGGAGATCACCTCCCAGAGGCAACCACCCTTCTCTCTCAGGTCCCAGTACTTGGTCCCAGACCGTGCGGTTTGCCGTCCTGCCTGACATGCACGGAAGTCTTGGTACCACAGCACGTTACAGCTCCACACCCCCCGCACGATCTCACCGGTTCACCCCATGGGCAACTCACTGGAATCCCTCACATGCTCGTTCTGCACGTGGTGCCTCCAGAGTGACACCCCTGAGAGCAACCACAATCCCATCCCGCCCCTTCCTGGTTCATGGCGAAGAGCATCCCCTCCGCTCTGTACTGAAGACCTCCCCGCCCGCACCTGTTCCTGGCTTCAGCCCTCAGCCGGCCAAACCCCACACGGACCTCCGAGACCCCCGGCCCTCTTCCACCTCTGCTTCACCCGCCGCCACAGCCTTCCCCGCTTCTCCGGAGCTCATTCAGAACCCAGACCCACTGGGTGGGGCCCGGGGTTGTCAAAGCCTGGGGCCCCTTCCACTCACCGGCGCCTCCCCGGCCAAAGGAAGCTGTGGGCGGAGCATGGCCGCGGCAGGCGCCGAATTTCGGCCTCTTCGGCTGAACTCCGTAGCTGCCACCCCGCTTTGGGCGCAGGAACCTCCGGCCGGCCGTGGAACCTTCGAAGCTAGGGCGAAAATGTGCCCAAGGACCAGGAAGCCCCTGTGGGAGGCCCACACCCTCCGGCGCCCGTCCCGCCGGGGGCAACGCCGCGTCTCAGGAAGAGGGGTCGGCCCCGGGAGTCACAGCGCGTGCACAGCGCGACGGGGGTCCCGCCCCAGTCCTCCGCCGAGCGGCCTCTAAAGGAAACCGGCCCGCCGCGCAGCTCTGGAGATAGCCGTCCCGAACCCCCGCGGCAGAAGGAGCACCTCGAGGGCAACGCCGGAAGTCCGGCCGCCTCAGCTGCCTCCGTCAACTTAGCCTCCGCCGTCCCTTTAGGACCTCATTTCCCAGCTCCCCCCGCGGTGCCGCTTGCTCGTTGCCAAGGCGACGGGGGGCGCGGCCGGGCGCTCGTGCCGAGGGAACCAATGACGGCCCGAGACAGGAGCGCTCTGGAGAGCCGCGCGGGTGGAGGCGGGACTTCCGGCGCCGGACTCCTCCCTCGGAGCCGCACCCGGGGGACGGACCGCGTCGCTGCGTGTGCTCGGAGGCTGAGGGGCGCGGAGGAGCCGAGGAGCCGGGGGTAGGGCGGGTGTGAGAGTGAGCACCGCGCTGTGTACGCGCCGTGAGCGCGGCAGGTGTTCCGAGCCCCGGTGTCCCGGGCCGTAGAGAGGTGACATCTTCGGCGTCGCCTCCGTCAAGGCCCGTCGTGCCCGCGACCGCCCGTGAGGCATCCCGCTGGACGCTGTGTCAGCTTCACAGAGCAGGTGACAGAGCTCAGGAAGAGTCTCCAGGGGCGCCTGGTGGCTCAGTCGCTGAAGCGTCTGCCTTCCGCTCGGGTGGTGACCCCGAGGTCCTGGGATCGAGCCCCGCGTCGGGCTCCCTGCTCGGCGGGGAAGCCTGCTTCTCCCTCTCCCACTCCCCCTGCTCGTGTTCCCGCTCTCGCTGTGTCTCTCTCTGTCAAATAAATACATACATAAATAAAATCTTTAAAAAAAAAGAAACGACTCCCCAGCCCGAGTTCAGTGAGCAGCTGGGGACCAGCAGCCAAGGGACCTTGTCATGAGTGGGGGGATGTCGGGGAAGATAAGCAGTTGGCTTTTAGAAGTGTTGCGTCCTCAGCGCCTGGGCTGCTGGACGCAGGCGGATCTCAGGTGCTGGGGATGGGTCTGGCACATGTTCAGAGGACAGTAGGCTGGTAGCCTGCCCCCTGTCAAGCCATGGTGCCAACTCGAGTAGGGGGCCTTGTGGAGGAGGGTGAGCGTGTCGTTGAGGACGTCAGGGGGAAAGGTCCTGGGCACATCCAGATAGGAGGCTGGCAGGAGAGGAACTCAGCCCCTGGATGTCTTGCACTGATGTCAGATGCGCTCATCCTGGAGGATGTGGTACTGAGTCTCCTGCGAAGAACAGAGCACTCAGGCGAGTCCCAGAGAAGCCTACCCCAGCGTGATGCTTCAGAACTTTGCCCTGGTGGCTTCTCTGGGTCAGGCCACTGGCTTCCTCACTCCCACAACTAGAAAACTTTGCTCTGCTCTTGCCATGTTCCCCTTGAAAACTGCTATTGGTCCTGGAGCTTGGGCCCAGGCCATGCTACCTCCTCTCCCAGGCTGCTGTGAGCAACCCCCACACGTTCTACCACGGGGCCATGAGCAGCTGAGATCAGCAATCAGAAGCCTGTAAATCTTTGCAGCAGGTCATGTCCAGCTCAGTCCCTTTGTGTAAGATCCCCAGCATTTCATGCACTGACGTGGTCATCGTTTGTGTGGCCACTGGGCTCTTTCTTGGAGACCTTCCCTGGACATTCAGGTTGTGAACATCATTGTTGTTCATGTACAGATGATCCTCAGCGGCTATAGTCTCTTAAGGGGGGTTGACCTCTCCTGGGGTGGATTCTCACAAACCTCATCAGCCCCCATGGCTCTAGTGGCTTCCACATTCCCTGTGGTTACCCTACTAGAATTGGTGAGGAGACCAGCCCTAGTGACTGCCTGAGGTGGGCTATTCTCACACCTGGTGTCTGACCCATGTTGTCTCAGATCCTTGAGCTTCCCTGACCCTCTACTGTTTTTCTTTTTTTTTTTTTTAAGATTTTATTTGACAGAGCGAGACACAGCGAGAGAAGGAACACAAGCTGGGGGAGTGGGAGAGGGAGAAGCAGGCTTCCCGCAGGGAGTCTGACATGGGGCTCAATCCCAGGACCCTGAGATCATGACCTGAGTCGAAGGCATACACTTAACCAACCAGGTGCGCCTAAAATACTTTTTATTTGTAAGTAGTTTGAAAGAAGTTGCAAAAGAGTTCCCATGTACCCTTCATCCAGCTTCCCTCAATGATAATGTTCTACATAACCACAGTACATTGTCAAAACCAGGAAAATATACTAATACAATACTTTTAACTCAACTACAGACCTTATTCAGATAACGCCAATTTTCACGTATACTCTATGTAGTTCTGTGAAATTTTATCACATGTGTAGATTCATGTTACCACCACCACCACCACAGTCCGATACAGAGCTATTCCATTTCACAAGGGAAGTTCTAACTAACCCTTAGGTCATACCCTCTCCCAATCCTGACCACCACTGATCTGTCCTCCATCACCATAATGTGCCGGTTCACAAATGTCACATAAAGGAAATCCTATAGCATGGATGGGCTACACTGTGGGCTTTTATCACTCAGCATAACGCATTTGAGATCCATCCAAGGTGTGTGTATCAGTAGCTTGTTCCTTTTTATTGCTAAGTAGTATCGCATTATCCAGATATAGCACAGTTTATCCATTTAACTATTGAGGGACATTTGGGCCGTCTACATTGTTATTCTTACTATTATCATCATCATTGTTAGCTATCACAAATAACAGTGCCGTGAACATTTGTATTCAGCTTTCTATGAACATGTTTTCACTTTTGTATGGACATGAGTTTTCATTGTTGTGTGTGTCAAGGAGGTGATAATTGCCCAAGAATGCAATTGTAGAGTTGTACAGTAAGTGTATGCTAAACTACCAAATTGTTTTCCAGAGCAGCTGCACCATCTTACATTCCCACCAGTAATAGCTACTGAACATGTTTTCATGCATATATTTGCTATCCATATATCTGCTTTAGTGAAATAGCTGCTCAAGTTTTTACCCATTTTCCAACTGGACTTTCTTGGTCAACTTTATTAATGTGTAACATATATAACAAAATGCACTCATTTCAAGTGCAAAATTAGATGAGTTTGGACAAATAAATAAACCCATGTGTTGAATTTGAGATACTCTCTGTAGTCATTTCCTTAAGCCAATATAGTTATGTCCACCCACCTCCATTGTGCTGCTAATGGCAAGTATATTTCTGTTTGTTATAGGCCAAACAGTACAGTTATGTATATGGTTTTATATAGTTGCTTTTATAATAAGTTTAAAAAAGAAATAGCATTTATACTTTCTTATACATAATTACTGGTGCTTTTTGTTTTTTCGTGTGGATTCACATCATTGTCTGGGATCACATACTTTCAGCCTTTAGTACTTCTTGGGTTGGTTGACACTGGACAAGGAGATAACTCCAAGTCCCTGCTCATCAGGAGCAGGGAAGAGAGAGTGGGAACATCCAGATCACTGAGATGCAAGCCTCAGTTGGGACTCTGTCCATTCTTTAACAAGCACATGATGTTTTCTGCTTATCAAAGAATGCTTATTAGTATATTTGCTGATTATAAATGTAATCATTTTCAGTGCCAACATTTTTTAATGGAGATACCCTAATTATTTCCAGTAGTGCCCTACTGTTAGACACTTTTACTCCCCTGGCTCAGCGGGAGGTCTGCTTCTCCCTCTGCGTCTTCCCCCTGCTCATGCTTGCTCTCTTTCCCTCCTTCACTCTCTGTCTCTCTCTCAAATGAATAAATAAAATCTTAAAAAAAAAAAAACATGGTAGGCAGAATTCTAAGATGACCCCAAGATTTTTCCATCGTAGGGCAACCCTCTGGGGTCCCCACCCATCTTGAAAAAAAAAAAAAAAGATTTTTCCATCGTAATCCATGAGACTGGAAGGATTTTTTCCCCCAGAACCTCCAGACAAGAACTCAGGCTAGCAGGCACCTTCATTCTAGTAGGAGCAGAGAACTTAGCCATGTTGTGCTAGAATGCTGACCTCAGTACTGTGAACTAATAAATGGATGTTTTGGTAATTGTAATTTGTTACACAGAAACAGAAAACTATTACAAGGTTGGACTTTTGGCAGTGGCTCCCTCACAAAGTCTTCTCTCTGACATGAGGCTGAATAAGGTGATAGCCATGGCTTAAAGGCTTTTGCACTTTATTGTACTCCTAAGGCCTTCAGTGTGAACTTTCTGGAGTGAAATAAGATTGGAGCTGCAGCTGAAGACTCTCCCCCTGCCTGGGTGGCTCAGTTAGTCAAGAGACAGCCTTCGGCTCAGGTCATGATCCCGGAGTCCCAAGATCGAGTCCCGCATCGGGCTTCCTGCTCAGCAGGGAGTCTGCTTCTCCCTCTGACCCTCCCTACTCTCACACTCTCTCTCTCACTCTCTTTCTCTCGCTCAAATAAATAAATAAAATCTTAAAAAAAAAAAAGACTTTCCCACATTAGTTGGACTAAAGAGGATATTCTGTGGTATGGAAACTTGCATGTAGATCAAGTTTGGTGCTTTGGGGTAAAGATTTCCCACACTGACTGCATTTAAAGTCCTTTTGGGGTCATGACCTTTCTGGTACTGAATGAGGTTAAGGCTGTATCTAAAGGCTTTCCTATAATTTCTGGTGTTAAATGAGAAGAAACTAAGGTGCAACATGTGCTGCCCATATGAGGCCTTTCTGTGTTGAGAACTTTGTGGTACCAAACACCTGTGGCTATTTCAATGAAGACTTTCCCACACCAGCAGCACTCCTACGGCCTTTCTCTCATGTGAACCTTCTGGTGCTGATTGAGACAAGAGATTCTGCTGTAGGCTTTCCCACAGTCAATGCATTCACAAGATCTTGCTCCAATGTGAGCTCTCCGGTGCCAAATGAGGTTGGAGTTTTGGTTAAAGAATTTCCCACATTCAGTGCATTTATAGGGCCTTTCCCCAGTGTGAACTTTCTGGTGCCGAATAAGCGTAGATGCGAGGCTGAAGTCTTTCCCACATTCACTGCACTTATAAGGCCTTTCCCCTCTATGAATTCTCTGGTGCTGAACAAGTGTAGATTTGTGGTTGAATGTTTTCCCACATTCACTGCACTTGTAACATTTTATTTCAGTATGAACTTTATGAGGTGTGCTCAATTTAGATGGGTGGCTGAGGGACTTCCCA